AATAAAATCTCCTTTTTATTCTGTTTTTAGGTGGAGACTTCTTAAAAAGTTGATGCTACAGGGTCGCTAAATTTATACTAAATTTATACAGCAGAAACACCGTGTTTGTTGAACCTGAAGAGGAATGAACAATTCTTTATTCATATTTAAGCTCAGAATTTAAAGTCAATATTGTATTATAATTCAAGCCAGAGAAGCATAACATTTTGTACAACAATTTTTCTTGTACTAACTTTCATTTAAGAATAAAGTTTTTATAAGTGATAAAAGTATGTTGAACATGTTATTTTATAAAATTTTAACTGTATTCTAGACAAAGTTTTCAAATAATATATTATTAGGATCAATATAATATTGTGCTTTTGTGCCTATTTTTCCACAAGTTATTAATTTTTACCCTCGTGACGTAATTCTTAGAGTAGGCACGCGTCACAATTGTTTCAATGGAATGTTAAGCTTGAACTATTTTATCTCCATATTTTGCTCTATTAACTATCATTAAATTTTTACGTATGCTCTTATGTAGTTTTTTTAAAAAAGATGTTTTGCTACAAAAATTAATGTCCGAAAAGTGCAGGCATTTAAACTATTTACAACTTTCAAAGGGGCATAGACACAGTTTCGGCTAAAAAAAATTGCAAATATTTAACTAAGGTCTTTCTAATGATCATCAAAAATTTTAACTTCAGTTGTCGAGATACAAGACAGATTTAGAGCTCCAAACCTTTGTTATGTAAACAGGGTCCGTGTCATGTTTTGTTTACATAGATTAATATACTAATATATGTTCGATCAAAACAGATAATTTCAAAAAAGAAGTTAATTATAAATACGATGAGACAGTTTTTAGTGAATTGCTGAATTTCATTTTGTTATATATATGATACTTTCTTTATGTAAACAAAAAACAAGGCACAAGCCTTGATTACATTTTTTCTGTCTCTTATTTGTTAATTAATAAATGATATTCAAGTTTTTGCTAATCATTAGATTATGCCTTAGCTAGGAATTGTAAGCATTAAAATTTGTTTTAAAGATTCAGTCAGTTGAAACTGTGTCCATGTCTCTTTAAAAAGAAACTTGAACTTTAAAGCTCAAATGCAAATTGATAGTTTGAATAACATGACATATATAGAAATATCGAACAGTATTCAAGTTTAGAAGTCTATAAAACAATACGAATTAGGAGCAGAACAAATACAGACCTCTAAAATATCAGAGGTGAAATCAGGTACCATGGAGGAATGAGCATGCCCCCCGCCCCCCCCCCCATTGGGGGGTCATCCTATTTATGTAATTACTAAAAAAAGCACATGGTCATTAATAATGACCGACTTTACGTGTAAAGACATCGAAAAACTCGTTGTTTTCTGGGAAGGGGAAGATGACTTATGGAATATACATATATCAAGCAGTACCTACCACAAGAAAGATGCTAGAAGTAGAGCTGTCAGCAGAATTCAAGAAGTTCTGAACATGCAGAGAGACGGGAAGAGAGTTTTCAGGTTCTAATAATCTTTCTCAAACAAATTCTGGAAAGTAACATACTGTTTAACCTATCTTCCATTTTTATCATTTTGGCAGAGAGAGAGATTGGCGAGGGAAAACACATGGGAATACGTATGGGGGTCATCTCTACTAGATAATATAAAAATCTCATTTTCTCACATATACAGGTACCAATAAAGAAGTTAATTCTAAATACAATTAGTTTATTTACAATGTTTTACAAGAATGTGTCATAATACAAAAGTATTATAATAATATATTATGTAATTATATATCATAATACTTGTATTATACTAAAAATGTCATCGTGTATACCGGCCTTAAAGGTGGGACAGATATATACATCGGAGGAGTGGTCTTATCCCATCACGCATCCGGTCACACACCCGTGAGCACCATGGATTGAACAGTTAGACGTAATTTTTTGCGTACTCTAATTTAGTATTAAAATGGAGACTAAACAATTCTTATCAAGAATGTTGGCCTAAATATGAACCAGTGATTAGAAAATATTTGCTGACAACGTCCATATAGCAACTAAAGAATCATTGAATGCTGTCTTAAAATGCTTACTGTTGAAATTCCCGTAGCGACAACTTTTCTGTCAGTACCCTACCTCGACTTAAGGTCAAGATCTAGTAAATGAAAGGTGCCTACAGATTTATCAAACTTGAGAAATAAATTCAAGAAGCTCTGAACAGAGAGACGGGAAGAGAGAATCTTTCTCCTTTCTCAAACAAATTCTGGAAAGTCATTTTTCCTTTCTTCCACTTTTATTAACAGAGAGAGAAACAGTTTACAATCTTATACAAGAGTATTAACCTTTATTAATGCTTTACAACTTTAGCTTGGTCAAATAAGGTGTTTCGGGGCATAATTTGTAGGTATACAAGATGAAAAACTGTACTTTAAACTGTCATTTTCAATGAAAAATTAAGAAAATCAGTCATGAATATGGGAGTTTTTTTTTTGTATTCGGCAAAGGAAATGTATCAAGATTGCCTACAGTCTCTCAGAAAACGGTAATTAGTATGTTCATGGCCTCTTCTTTAAATCAATATCAAATTCAGTATAGGTATCCAGTTTACTTTTCATATGATTTCAAATTGAATGACATGAAAACACCTTATTTTCTACATAATTCTGCAAAAGCCGTAAAGTACGGGAAAAAGAAAGTCGAAATTGATTATGACGTCATAATGGATCTAGCATCAAATAAAAAATAGTCTCAAGTTATTTAACTTATCTTGACCTTAAGCCAAATAGGCTTAGATGCTATTAGGGAAGGAATGAAAAATAATAATAATTTTAAAAAAATAATGCATCTTTTCCACTTTTTAACACTTTACATACCATTTTACATGAATTTTCTATTTAAATTACAGCTTTCTTTATGAGAGAGCTACAAGTTTGTTTGTTTGATTATTGTTAAACATCCTTCTATAGAATTTTTCACTCAAATTTTTAAGCCACCACTTGCCGATTGAGAGCTGGGATATTTTTTTTATCTATATACGACACCCAGGGCCATGGAGAAGTGAAGGATCTTTTTCTTGGCAACATTTATTGTGACACAGGACCTCGGTCTCATCCGAAGGACCGGACTCCACGTCGGACAGTCGGATTCGAACCTGCAACGTGAGGATCAATTCCTTACTTTGCGACTCTTCCGCAGACGCTCTAACCACTGCGCCATGCGAACAACCACACTAAAGCATACAATAAATCTTCATCAATTATTTTTCTGAATTTTTTCGTAACATTTTTTTTCGGTATTTGTGAGCCATTTTGACATCATAATAAACTGGAATGTAATATAAGAATATACATGTATGTACTAAACACATTTGTAGGTCATCAAGTGTCCATTGAACAGGTCATTATTTCAAAAGCAAAACCAGTATAATTAATGTGGCTTGTAGACTTATTTCGGACAGTTTCTATCAGAAATATATAATTATACAACACCATTTTCCAACTACAGCAAAACTCGGTTATAACGAAGTCGCTGGGACCTATGAAATTACTTCGTTATATCCATAATTCGTTACAACCGTATAAGAAAGTCATAAAATATATATAGCTGGGGATCCAAGATGACTTCGCTATATTCGTAAATTCGCAATATCCGTGTTCGTACTAAACGAGTTTTACTGTAGATGGCAAGGAGGCATAAAGATAACATTTCCATGGTGTTTCTGACATAATTAGTGGTAGGTTTCAATGTAAAAAAGAAGTTTTAATTTATCACATTTTGCTTGTACCTCATTATCACAATTATTTCATTTTCTGTGCTTTCTTTAGCTAGTGAAAACCCGACACTTTCCTTCGGGCCTGAGACTTCGAAGTAATAGCATCCCTTTCAACCGTAGATATTTCATTTTCACTAAGTCCTTTTTAAAATGAGGTTAACTAAGTTTAGATCTGTTGTTCAAATTTGTTTAAGATAAATAAAGACCTTATATTTGGTATGAAATGTAAAATGAAATTAGGGTTATGAAATTAGTAGTCTTCAGTTCAGTTAGATATATCAAAGTCATCTTAACGATCATAAAATGTTTGAGAAATCGTTTGACATCAATTTATCTAAATCGGATTCAAATCGTACTCGTATACAATGTTATTCTTTTGTCACTCCTGCAATGACTTTTCTAAGTCTTTGATTTCTTAAATTTATAAGAGTATTTGGGCTATGATTTTCATCTGAGCCCCCTGCACCTATAAAAGCTTACATTTTCAGCAATGATCCCATCAAATTAAAAGGCTCAATCCCCCAACAAAACGTGATGGAATCACTTGCAATCTACACATTCTTGGACGAAACAAGTTCTAACACACCCACATAGACACAAATAACTTGATCTACTCCTGAAAAGAAGAAAGAACGTTTTATTATTTGATTTTATTATATGATTTGATTTTCTTGTTATGTTACACAATTATTTATTTATTCATATTATTTCTAAATTTATTTTTGTATGATCTTTTAATCCTTCAAAGAAAAATGGACAAAAAATTTGTTGATAATAATTATGTTTATTTATCAAATTTGATACTACCATCAATGGCAATGGCAAAAAATAAGTTGAATTTTAAAATTAAGTTAAGGAATTCATAAAAAAAATTACAAACAAGTGGAACTTTTTGTTACATTTTCTTTTGATGATTTTTTTTTTGTTTTTGTGTGTGTGTGTGTGTGTGTGTGTGTGTTTGTGGGACAGACATGTATCAATCATCATAAAACAATCATTACTTGTTTAATTAATTTCCAAATAAAAGTCATGTTGAATAAAAATAGAGATTTAGAGCGTTTAACGTTTAGCACCATTCCTTCAACACGATTTGCACTCTAAATTCCTGAATTTATTCATTTTGATGTAAGTGTGCATATTTTATGCAAACAGTTTTCTATTCATTGTTAAAAATCAATCTTGTTACATCCAGTAACAACATTCCTTGTCAACATAAGGAGGTTATCTCTGCTGAATAAAGAGGCCCTACAATGAGAAATTTGATTCTTTTTGCAGTGTTTCTTGCTTTCATTCTTCAATTGGAATCATGTAAATGTCTATCCAAACATCCTCAAAGGCATTTTTGTAACTCGAATTTTGGTAAATAATCATTAATGTGAGTATGAAATGATAAACTTGTTTGAACTGAACCGTTGTTCCTTTTATTGATACAAACAGAGTAAAAAAAAAAATAATTCATTTGTATCCAATTACCTTTAAAGATATTAATTACATATACTTTTATTACCTTTATCATGACTCTATGCAATTGTGTTAGTGGAGCTAATTACTTTTTGTTTTGATAATTAAATCTTATTTCCTGTCAGTTGTTCACGCAAAGGTGATTAGTCGGTCGCAAAGGATCGTGAATAATGGATTGAATGTGCGTGTTGCATACACTGTTCAAATACTCCAAGATTTCAAGGTTAATAATTTATTTATTTCAAATCATAACGCACTATTATTTACATGTAATAATCTTTGATATTTTTCGCATTTAATACTCTTTAAACACTTTTTAGATATACAGCATTTTTAATTTCAAAATGGAAAAAAATGACAATTTTATAATGCTCGAGCTAAATCGAATTTGTTTATTTGTTACATTACATTATTTAATTCTCTGTTTTATATTTTACTCTTCAAATGTCTTTATCTTAACAGATTGACGAAAGAAGATTAAGACAGCAGAAACCAATCCGAATAATCAAAACCAGTTCTAGTTCATACTTTGAATCCAAACAAAGAATATGTCATTTCAGGTATTACTAAAACAATATTTTTTCTGAGTTCTTCTTATACCCCATTCATACGACGAAAAACTGCTTATGTATGCAAATATACTCATGTGTAAATTTACACATATATGTAAATTTACACACATAAGTAAAAGTTAATTTGCTATGCGTTCATACGAGATTTATGTACCATAAGTAAATCCTTAAATTGTCATAAAACATAAGGAGATGAACTGATTTAGAATCGAAAAAGGGTATTTTCTTTCTATTAGACTAACTTTTAAGTGTTCCATAAAGAAAGTAGAAAAAATCTGATCCACTAATTGGTATGACGAAACCAAACTTAACGACTTTAAGGATTAGTGTGGAAATTTTCACTGAAATAATGAAGGAAGATGTCTTAAAATTTTGCTTTAAAATGCTTTTGCCTCGTCCTAAAAGACTCTAGAAGAGTAAAGAAAAAGTTAGTTATTGCCATCTACTGGTTGGCATCTTCAGAGAAATATAGGACAACTGGAAATCTTTTGGTCTGGGGAAATCTACAATGGATGATTGATGGTAGCCGAGGGAAATATTCAAACGGAATACATCATGCGAAAAATAACTACTAACGAATTCAAAATCTTACCTCAAACAAGGTTGTCAAAATCTTTGTAACATCAACTTATCTGTCAGTAGCTTGCCTCGGTTATCAAGAGCTAAAATGTGGTAGGGCTGTATCTTTAGAGACATAAACATATGTTTGCCAGGAAGGGGCATGATGCCCATGTTTTTTGAAAATTCGAAAAAAATATCTAGGAGGAAATAATGGCTTCTTGTTTCCAGAGTGGAGATGGTCGTTTCGGGGATAATATTAAGTTCTGCGACCAAGCGTATCCTTGAAAGACTTGGCTTTTGAAGCCACATACCAACATATTTACCCTTACAAAAACTCAATTCACTAAAAATTATCGTTTGAGTAGAACAAGGATTCCCATTTAAAATCCGTCTTTTTAGAGCATTGATATCTAGCCGCCATATTTAACAACTGATATTTTACACTCCATGCAATGCATATACAACAGTAACAATGCTTAAGATGGGGATTTCTGCTATAAGCAATACAAAATACTTCAACAAATAAATTTGCTGTGTTCATACGACAGAATAAACACACAAGAACTAATAATTTGCAAAAACATGCATGCAAAAGTTAATTCGCACCTAGTCCTGACCAGGTGCAAATTTACTCAACTGTGCAGAATTTGCATGTGAGCAAATCAGTTCATACGACAAAAATTGCACATGTATGTAAATTTACATATGTGTAAAATATACTGAGGTATGCTAATCACTGATAAAAAATGGGGTAAAAATTTAGTTCCTATTTGTAATCCAGATTACCTTTTTTTTTTTTTTTTATATTACGAGAGTTTTAAATTATCGAAAATATTATATGTTTTGTACATGTACGTATGTATTGCATTATTATATGTCTTGAAATGTATAATTGTAAATATTGTCTATGAGATGTATGTCTCTTGATTTCAATGAACTGAACTGAAGAATATATGTACTAAACACATTTAAAGGTCATCAAGAGTTTATTTTACGTGTCATTTATTTATTCTATAAAATCAGTATCATTAATATGTCTTGTTAACGTCTTTCTGGTAGATACATCTAGAAATGATTATACAACACCGTTTTCCAATAAGAGGGCAAGGAAGCACAAACATAACACATTCATGGTGTTTATTGACACAATTAATGGTAGGTCTCACTGACGAAAAGAAATTTTAATTAATCACATTTTGTTTGTACCCCATTATTACAATTACTTTATTTCCATGCTTCAAGTTGAAGTTCATTTATTTCACTCACACAAACATCAGTGGTACATATGGTATATAAATTATATAAGTAGCTTTCTCTAGCTACTAAAAACCCATCAATTTTCATAAGGTCTGAGGCTTAGAAGAAATAACATCCTTATCAAACGATGACATATCATTTCCACCTAAGGTCTTTTGTAATATGCAGGCAAAGGAAGTTTTATTAGATTAGTTTTGTTGTTCCAATTTGTTAAAAATAAATTAATGCGTTACATCTGTCATATTTGCAATCAAAGTCATCTCAGAGATCATAAAATGTTTTAGAAGTCGTTTGACATCAATTTATCCAAATGGGTTTCAAGTTGATTGTACTCGTATACAATGTTAATCTTTTGTCACTCCTGCAATGATTTTGTTTCATGTCTTTGATTTCTTAAAAGTTTACATTTCCCAATGAAACCAGAAGTCTCTGTCGAGACTGAAGCTCTACTGGTCTGTACGTACAGCAAATGAGGAGAAAAGTTTTTAAGCAGTTGGGAATTGAAACTTTACCACAGCAATAAAAAGAATAATGATCCTTGATTAAGTCTCTTTATGTCCTTAATGTAGTCTACTTGCATGTCACATTATATTATAATAATCAAACTGTATTTGGAGTGGCATTTTGAGAGTATTTAACAGAAATTTCTATTTTTAGTTACCACGGCAACACCCTTCATCGAAATCAAAAACTGATACACAGAATTATGTGTTTTAGTGTAGTCTACTTGTGCGTCAAGTTATATTGAAATCAGACCAAAACTGTAGGAGGAGTAGCATTTTGAAAAAATTTCAGAAATTTCTATTTTTAGTAACCACGGCAACACCGTTCCTCAAAATCAAAAACCTATACACAGAATTATGTATCTTAGTGTAGTCTACTTGTGTGCCAAGTTATATTGAAATCAGACCAAAACTGTAGGAGGAGTAGCATTTTGAAAGAATTTCACAAAAAATTCTATTTTTAGTAACCACGGCAACACTGTTCATCGAAATCAAAAACCGATATAAAGAATTATGTATCTTAGTGCAGCCTACTTGCGTGCCAAGTTATATTGAAATCAGACCAAAACTGTAGGAGGAGTAGCATTTTGAAAAAAATTCACAGAAATTTCTATTTTTAGTAACCATGGCAACACCGTTCATCGAAATCAAAAACCGATACACAGAATTATGTATCTGAGTGCAGTCTACTTGTGTGCCAAGTTGTATTGAAATCAGACCAAAACTGTAGGAGGAGTAGCATTTTGAAAAATTGTTTACAGACAGACAGACGGACAGACAGACAGACGGACAGACAGACGGACGGACGACGGACGCATAACTATCGCATAAGCTCTTCTGGTCTCTGACCAGTAGAGCTAAAAAAAACGGAGAAAGTTAGGTCTTGCTTCTGTGCATTTCTTTTTCTTTTCTTTTTTTATATTCTTTTTATTTATGAATGGTAGAATCTATTGTTAATTGAAAATACATACCTACAATGTACCTTAATGAGTTATCTGGGCTATGCTTTTCATCTGAGCCCCCTACACCTATAAAAGCTTAAATTTTCAGCAAATTAAAAGGTTCCATCCCCAACAAAAAGTATTATAGTTACATGTAAGTATAGATTACTATAGTTAAATATACACAGCACAGTTAAGGTTACAGTAAGGAGGAGGGGCCTAATTTATATGGGAAATATTTAATTTGACGTCACACAAAATATAAAGTCTTCAAAATACCATAAAATGAAATTATTTGCTATTTCAAACTGCATCGATCGCAATGCATTTGTCAAGTGACGTCATCTTGCAAAAATGATGCAGTTTGTACACAGTGATAGGCTGATCTAGTTACTTTTACATTGAAGAATGTCTTGTTCTCAAATAAAATATTATTTGCACTTAAATAAAAGGGCGTTAACTTGGATGCGATGTTTATTTTACTATTTTATTTATAAACTGTCCGTATATTCTCCAGACAAATGAATCTGTCGTGTGTTTGTATGCAGATTCATTGAAAAATTAATAGAAGGGTCCTGATAAATCGACTTATTGCATACCCTCAATGTATCTTGGCAAGTTTTTACACATAAACCCAAGAAGCATTAAGATAATTTAAAGGTGCTGCGAACCTCATGAAATCTTGCAAAGAAATTAATTATAGCTATATTTAATGTAGTTGACCAGCAAAATATTCAATCTGCCGTCCAACAAATTAAATTTTAACAATTAAATAAGGGAATCTATACAGGTTCACAGCACTTTTTACAAACTACATATAGTGTTAAAAAGGATTATAAATTCAACTAAAATTTTTAAATTGGTTATGCCCTTGCAATATTGGAATTTATAGATGACCTTTAAACTGCAAGTATAATTGATAAAATCGTGACATCGACATCACGTGACAAGTTTAAATAAAAATTCTGAATGTCCTCAACATGTAGACTTGAATCACATTACATTTTTCTGATATCAGTGAAGTCCTAAAAAGAATCGCCCATCCTTATAAAGTATGTATTTTTTTTATCTTAAAAAAATTGCCAATATTTTCATTTGTAACCTTAACTGTACTGCGTAGTAAATCAAAGTTTCCAGATTTGCGCATCAAAGTATTTTTACTATGGATTTCATTTAGATATATTTTACTTTTTTAAAATTCCTGAAAGTAATTTTAAACGAACTATTCCTTTGAATTATTACATATTTATTCTCGTTAAAAAGTATCATTAATGTGTAATTTTAAAAATATAAAAGCTCTAAATTTAATTTTCAAAAGTAACAGAATTAAGTTTCATAGTAAATCAAAGTACTTTCTATAATTAGCGATAAAAAATTACATGTATAGTTAACTATGGTAAATTTTTGTTATGGAGGTAAAAAAACTGAATCGTCACTGCATGAAAGAACCTAATACTCTGCACTTTCGCCCAATTTAAATTTAGGAGGAGTTCATTTGTTTTTGTTTTTTTACTCACAAAAGTAGCTTATTTAGAAAAAAAATCATAAATAAATTTTAAAATCATATACTTATCGAGAGAATATAAGTCTATCGGTGGATTATCATCTAAATATTTCTTTTGAAAATTATTTCTTACAAACTTGCAATCTGGACATGCTGAATATTTTTGGAAGAAATCCATTAATGAAATGATGCAGTCACGAAAGCTTTTCTGAAGCATATTCTAATATATACTAGACTAAATAATAAAATAAAAATTGATCGAGGCAAATATGGATAACGATCAGAAAAAGTTATTTGATGATTATATTTTGATCCATATGTTGACTGCCTTTTTTATATACATGTACATTGTACTGGAAAGTTGTATGCTACCTCCCCGTGTATGAGTTGCAATGCATGCAAATATACCTGGTGTCATTTATTATTAGCCATCACTGTAAAGATGTGTAGAAACAGAAGAATTCTAGGATGAAATACAATATTTCCTTTGATTAATCCCCAGAATTCAGATTCCCTTGTTTTCAATCCTTCACATGTTTACCAAATCTCAACTTTGTTTCTGAAAGGGAAATGAAAAAAAAAACTTCATAGGTTAAAATATTTGCAGGAAAGGAGTAAATTATACACGTGAATGAACTTTTGACGCGTAAATACAATATGATAAGAATTTTTATACAGAATGTAACACACACACACACAATCTCTCTTTTATTACACACACAAATTGATACTCTGAAAAGAAGAAGAAATTACGTTAAGTTCAAACACACATTTTAAGTACGCTGTAAACACATTTTATTTTATAATATATTTTCATTTCATCTCTTAATTATTTCAAGGAAATATCGATGGAAAGAAAACGTTTCTGCTGGCAATATGATTTTTTTTATATTAATTTAAATTTTTAGAATTAGTTTGGAATTCATGGAGAAAAAATTTACATACAATTGGAAATTTTGGGGGACATTTACTTTTAACATGTTTTTGTGGAGCAGACATGCATCAATAATCTTTAAACAATGACTTCTTGTTTAATTAATTACTTTAAAAAAATCAAGGTGAAAACATATAAAGATTTAAAGCATTTAACGTTTTGTACAATTCTTTTAACACAATTTGCACTCTAAAATCTTGAATTTATTCCTTTTGATGTACATGAGAGTGTGCATAATTTATGTTAACAACTTTCTGTTCATTGTTAAAAATCAATCTTGTTAAATCCAGTAACATAATTCCTTGTCAACATAAGGAGGTTACCTATAGTAAGTTAAGGGGCCCGACAATGAGAAATTTGATTATTTTTGCAGTGTTAATTCTTGCTTTCATTCTTGATTCGGAATCATGTAAATGTCTACCCAAACATCCGCAAAGACATTTTTGTAACTCCGATTTTGGTAAGTAATCATTATTGCAAGTATGAAAAACACAAACTGGCTGGAATTGAACAGCTCTTTCTTTTATTCATATTTAAAAAGGGTTAAAAATTAGTTTATCTGTATCCACGTACCTTTGAAGATATTTTATTTAATTATATATATTTTGTTACTTTATATTATTTATAATTATTATTCTTTTATTTGGTAACCTTTATCATGACTTTATATTCTTTTGTGTTAGTAAAGGTTATTAAGTCTTGATAATTAAATCTTATTTCCTGTCACTAGTTTTCAAAGGTGATTAGTCGGTCGCGAAGGATCGTGAATAATGGATTGAATATTGCTTACACTGTTCAAATACTCCAAGATTTCAAGGTTAATAATATATTTATTTCAAATCATAACTCACTATTATTTACAAATTATAATCTTTGATATTTTGGTGTTTTAATACTTTTTAAACACTGTTCAAATACAGCATTTTTTTGCTTCAATATTGAAAAAAATTGACAATCTTATTTACAATTCGATATGATGCTCGACCTTTATTGAATTTGTTTATTTGTTACAATGTATTATTTAATTATCTAATTATATTTTACTCTCTAATTCTCTTTATTTCGACAGCTTGACGATAGAAGATTTAGACAGCAGCCGCCAATCCGAATTATCAAATCCAGTTCTTCTTTTGCTGCCTGTGGTTCATACTTTGAATTAAATAAAGAATACGTCATTTCAGGTATTACTAACGCAGTATTGTTTTTCTTAGTTTATTAAGAAAAAAAGAGAATATCTACTACCTCTTATTATGATCATATATTGTATCTTCTGAATGACGTTATATTCTGTAACTTGTAATATATAATTCAAATATACTTGATAAATATGAATCTAAAAATAACGAATTGCATACTTCATGAAAGCCGAAATCTTGCACAAATGAATGCACAGTACTTGAGGCCTTTTTTAGATTGATTTCTGAATTCTTGATGCACAAAATAAATTATACAGCCACTGCTTACAAATCAATTTTAGTGAAACATGTTATTTTTCATGAACAAAATCATTAATTAGTGCCCATAATGTACATCCACATGCTTACAGCTGCTAAGACATATATCGACTGAAAAAAGAAGGATATGGAGATAACGAAATGTATTCAATATCAAAGTCCATAAAACAATACATACATGTTTATATTATTATAACAGTAACTTGATTCGAAGGTTCGTATCACGTCGAATTGACAGGCGTGGATCATCAGATCAAATCACACGCGAAGTAAATTAAACCTAAAAAAGGTACTTGTGTTAATACACATCTTTGGGCTTAATTATTCTGTTATAATGATAAATTATTATATACTAGTACCCCCTTATAACTAGCTAAATATAGCAAAATAAAACTTTAGAGATTCATTGTATAATATTTATACATAAAACAAAGCTTATTCACGATGGACTTTTTAACGTGCAAGAAAAATAACGTCATGTATCTGCGTACTACGTCTTCAGTTTCAGAGAAAACCACAGTGCGGTGATCCAGAAAGTAGGATCACAAAGTTACATGATTGCGTAAAATCATCAATAAATTTGAATTATTCGCATTAGGTATATGATAAAAATAGGAGCAGAGCAAACACGGATCTCCAAAACAGCAGAGGTGGGATCAGGTGGCATTGAGTAGTGAGCATCCACTGCCTACCGGTCACACCCGCCGTGCATGTGCTCCTTGTCATGATCGGGAAATAAAAATCCTATAATATGTATAAACACGGCGGGTATTATTTTCTTTTTCGTGTTATGAAATTGTCTTTTTAATAAATGACTACGTTATAAATAATTACGAAAATCTGCATTTGCAATTTTAAAAGTGATAACAGTCAACATAAAGCACACAGAAACCTGTGGAGTGCAACAGAATACTTAAAGGAGATATCTTTGGGTTTTACAAAATAATTTTTTGTTTAAATTTATTTCTGTACAAATAATAGTCTAAAGTGCTATGTTTCAATAGATTAAACATCGTAATACTAATGTACATACATCCGCCATTATTCATCATTATTGATTGTCACAAAAGATCTACATCGAAAAAAAGTTTGGTAACTAAAGTTGACATACATAATATTCATTGGAAAATGAAAAAAAAAATCTCAGCTCTACATAGAACAATTAGAAAAACATTTATTTTCTTAATGATAAATCTTGTTTTATGCTTTCCTACCTATACCTCTAGATATGTTTTATATACCTAGTACATGTATGTAAATAAATAACTGATCATGCTTAGGTTAATTTAAGCAGCTTTTAACAGATTTAAGCAAGCTTCGCGTGAACATTCCCTCAGTGGAATATTCTAGTTGGGAAAAGTCCTAGTTTTCTTTTGTTAATTCTCTTCATGGTCTTTTGAGATTTTTATTGCAGCCCGGAGGACCGGGCTGCTCTATCCATATATATATACGTTTCAGTGTTGGTGTATGGGATTGTGGTAGAAGTTATTCAGAATTAAAAGTTAACTTATCATTTTAAAAAAATTAAACGTTAGAATGGTGTTTACCTTTATAAATTAGGAGATACACAAAATATTTACTTCCATAAAGTGAATCTTTAATATAATTTTTATATTTAATATATAATTATAAAGTTGTTTACCATTCACTATCGAAAAAAAGACAGGCCCCTCTTTCATATTTTATGCAGCCAACATTTACTTGAGGAATTGATAAAGTTTAAAAGGGTATCGTCTATACATGTAAGTGTTCAAGACTATTGTCTCAATTTAGACGCATGTCATTTTCACTTATTTCGAAGCTGTTTTTGCATTGTCCATTGTTTACTACATTCATTTCCTAGGCGACAATTAATGGTTACATCAATGTTTTGTTGTCTTACTTGATATTCATTTCATTCAGGTTCCAACATTAGGGGCGAATGGGAAACAAATTTATGCGCATGGAATGATGAAGTAGATTTACTCACACAATACCAAAGAAATGCTCTGGATCTCGGCGTTTACAAAAACAGTTGTAACTGCCAGGTAACACGGGCGTTATTCTTAATTAGTCGTTAATACTGTCAAATGATAAGTACCCAAGTGAAAATTTTTTCAAACAAATCACTTACAAATTGCCTACAAATTGCTTTAAAATCACTTAAAAGTGATTTGTTTCAGTGATTTGTAAGCAATTCATTTAACAAATCATGCTTAAATCACTTTCTACCAAAATGATGACTATGATTTGCTTACAATTTGTTATGAAAGGGTGATTTGCTTGTGATTTCTTTCCCATTTCAGACAATTTCTGAGTGATTTGTTAAACTTAGGAAATTGTTACAGTGATTTCTTCATGATTTGTTGAACTTAGCCGTTCTTCAAGGTGATTTGAAAATGATTTCTGGAACTAGTCTTTCTTCAAAGTGATTTGAAGATGATTTGTTAACTTAGTCTTTCTTTTGGATGATTTGTAAATGATTTGTTGATCTCATGGTCCTTCTTCAGAGTGATTTGAGAGTGATTTACTTCACAATTTCCGCCTGGCTTGCTGATTGGTCAGTATTAGAAACTCTACCGCCAATTTTCATTTATCAGATTTGAATTGAAATGAAAGGAGCTAGATTGTGCTGTTCTAGATTCATACCTCTTTTCTTTTGTTGAAACTGATGTTTTTTCCATAACCATGCAAAATATAGTTTTAAGGTATGTATAACTGTATTATGCTATCATTTCCTCCTTAGATTCAGTTAATATTCCATATGTTTACATGCAATTTATTGTTCTTCAGAAGACCAACAACAAAGTCGGTGGCAATTAATGTTTAAAACAAAATCTATGTAAAGCTATAAGCTTCAGCAAAGTACTGGCTTTTTCAAAGTGTCTACACAAATATTAAATTAACATTTACCAACTTCTAAAAGTCAACAGTTATATGCTTATAGTATATTCTGAATTTGGAGCCAAGTAGTCATTTGTGTATATCTAAAATACATGATGCCATCTTAATAAGGACACATCCTAGTAAAAGTTTATATTTTAAAATACTCTTGCCAAAAGTATTTTTTGTTAATATACAACAAATATGCATGCATGTGATTTTTAAATAGTTCAGGGATGGTTACATGAGCATCATGCACACACGTGTGTATGCACCTGGAGTGATTTGAAAGTGATTTGTTAAACTGAAGTGATTTGTTTGCAATTTATTTGAAATGATTTGTTTGCAATTTATTTGGAGTGATTTGGTTGCGATTTGTTCAACAGAAGTGATTTCTACACAATTTATTCAAAGTGATTTCGTTGTGATTTCAGGGTGATTTGCTTACAATTTGTTAGGAGTGATTTGTTGGCTCATTTGCATGGGAATTTGCATCACTTACAAATCATCTTCAAATCACTGATTCATAAGTGATTTCTTAAAGTGATTTGTTTGAGGATTTTTTTCACTTGGGTACTGTATCCAGGGAAATTTTCACCCTCTTTTATTTTCACCCCTTTCGCCCTAACCTTGGTTGGGTGAATTTAAAACGGGACAAATTCAAGCAATACATTATAATTTCTTAATCAGAACTGTGACTGGGCGAATTTAAGACGGGACAAAATTGTTTTCAAGTGTGAACGGGCGAATATAAAGCGTTGCAAAAATAACCCTTTACACAGTAACACTTTTAATGAGGATAGTATTGTTTCTTTATAGGTTTTGGAGTGCGCACCTGACGTGATGAATTGCCCAGCTGCAGGTAGAAATGAATGCGTCATCAGATCAAATTTTAACTGCCACTATGGCATAAATACTTGTAGAAGAGTTAATTCGATGTGCATGTGGACTTCTCCATGCAATCTGTGACATGCCTTTGCGGTTTTAAAATCATGAAACAATGTGCTTAATATGCTTAATAAAACTTAATATATTAAAAATCAAAATTTTGACTCAAATCTGTATTGACGGCTCGTAGTCTTGTTGCAGGGTCTTTGACGCTGTTGAGACATACGAAATACTGACACATTTCCTTTGTGGGGGCATCTGATAAAGGAAATGGCATAAATACTTGTAGAAGAGTTAATTCAACAATAACAAACAAAATATTTATTGACTGTGTTATCGGCTAAAATGCGTTATGTCGACTCTCTAACCAAACTGTTTGACTGAGGCCTATTGGCCCCGGACATACCGGTATGTTTCATTCTTGGGTCCGACAAAACGCACGTTGCCTTCTAACCCAGTCAATAAATGTATAATATTCTAACGGAACAATGATTTCCTGATGTTAGTAAGATAAAATTATTCTCTGGGTACGGAAGAGACGGTTCGAGCTTAAGGTTAACAATTATATACACTAGTACTATAAAGGAGCATATGTGTCTACACTGTACAAATGAATTTTATATCAGCCACAGCTCTAATAACGTCATCTAATTATAGTTTTGTCAATATTTCTCGCGCTAGCCGTTTGATTCTGACGATTTGTACTTTTCTCTAGTATACATGTATTAGGAATAACAAGTTGCTACAACACAAGGACTACAATACGTGGACCATATGCATGTATTTCTAACCGAAATTATATTCAAGACAATTTCTAGGTTTAGTGAATATTCATATAGGTTCGTTCACATTTTCTATTATAATCTGTCTACTTTGACTGATAGTACATGTACGTACTTTCATAGCAAACTTGTTAAATGTAATCTCCGATTGGCCTATATAGTTTTGTCATTTTAAAAATCGGGATATTTTTGATGCATTTACCCCATAATGGCTGGGACTCCACATCTGTTCTGGCTTATAAGGAAGAAATCTATAATTGACAAAAATATATCTGATTTTTTTTCAGAGCCCCCCCCCCCCCTTTTCCTCCACATGGAAAACTGTTGCTACAAGCCTGTGTCACGCTGTACCTGGATTGCTGTATTTCAAACTATTTTTGCAAGTTTGATGCACAAAAAAAATGCCGATGAAGACGAGTTCTTCTTACTTTTTAATATGCATCTGCCTTTCAGACTGGCTGAAGTTGTTTTTCCGACCTCTGACGGAAAGACCCGATATGATGCGATTGCAAACTCTCGAGCATTCTCGCGCATGCGTAGCCTGTCGTTTGCCCATGACATCCGGTTTAACCTCGCTTATATATTTACTGCGTGGACCGCAATGACTTGTTACTTTTTTGGTACATATATAAAGTTTGATATGTGTGCACAAGTACAGAAAAAAGTGAAGAAGAGGAGAAATACTCATTAAAAAGAAGAAAAGATTGTTGTTGTTTTGTTTTTTGATTTTTTTTTTTACAGATACATTGCATTTATAAAGTATAAAACTATATAACGCTTAATATTGATTATGATAAGCAATTATATATTGCAAAATTTAGTAAAAATATGATGAAAGACATAAACAGAATATTTTTTAAATTATGTTTTAGAGTAATGTATTATACCTCTATTAATTTTTCACTGTATAAGAGTAAATAGGTATATATATTTGCTGATTTCCTGAAAATCACCGTAAAAAGACTGATTCCCTCCAAAAACGTGCTTGTTTGATGAACTGATTCACACTATGTTCAGACATATATGAAAAGCATGTGTTCCAAATGATACAGTAAAACTCGGTTATAACGAAGTCACTGGGACCTATGAAATTACTTCGCTATATCCGTAATTCGTTATATCAATATAAAAAATTCGTTAAATTTATATAGCTGGGGATAAAAGTTAACTTCGCTATATCCATGAATTTGTAATATCCGTGTTCGTACAAATCAAGTTTTACTGTATCATGAATATTCATAATGTAGCTCAATTAAAGTATACACTACACAAAATTGCTTACGCACCACTTGTTCATTCTTTTTGTGAATTGAACATTTGCCGGATCGGTACTAGTATATACATACATGTAGTATGCCATTACGAAACAGTCGTTGACTATCATACATTGCCTAGTAATCATTTCGTGCTTAAATGTCCATAAAAATAAACTAAACTTCCGGTTGACCCAGTTTTGTGGAGCAATTTTCGAATTTTTGTATTATTCTAACCTAATCTCTTGGCTATCTATAGTAAACATTTTTATGATTTTTAATCTATTTGCAACAATTTTTCATGAGAAGAATCTAAAATCTTTACATTGTTTTCTTTTTTACGGATTCCTGAAAAGGAACCCTCTGCAGAATGAGACGTCATATACTGTCTGGTTAAGCACGCTCTTCTAGCGTCAAACACCGCATAAGGTGTAACTTTTTTTCTGAGTTTTTAATTAGTACAAATGTAAAGAACATAAATACAAAGAAAATTTTTTAAAAAGAATCTTTAAAAATGGAATTGACACAATTTTAATATTTTGCCTATGAATTGGTAACGCTACAGTAAACTTTGAAGTTATTTTTAAGGTTTGACAAATTTACGAGGGGTGATCAAAAAGTTCGCGAACCAATTGAATAACTTCCATAAAAGAAACAATATTTGGTTTCAGTGTTGATTATATTTTTCATTAGTCTTCTTTGATTTTAATACACATCTGCCACCATTCTACTCATGCGCGAATCCCCTGCGTAGCGTTCTGTCACAAAAGCATAAGGTTTTTCTGAGTTTTAAAGTTCTCTCTATGTACGTTAATTTTCATAATAAGAACAATTCATTTGTCAGAAATGGTCAAATCTCGACAACAGAATGGGTGGATTAGAATATCCTTTCCAAAAATAAGCATGGCGACCATCAAAACCCGGATCTTCTGTCTCGGGAGAGACGTTTATTCAAGGTGGATAGCGAATGGGTTCCTCCTTTTTATCATATCTAATATGTTTAAAATCTAAAGTAAACGATATCTTAGGTATTAAATAATTATATTATTATTAAAAATTCAACTATTTTTCAAAGTGTACATCGGATGTCTTTGATAGCTAATTGCTTTATTAAAAGCACATCACTTTTCAAATTTGCTTTCACTGGACAAAATAACAAGTATCATTTTTAACCATCTGCCTTCCTTCACTAAAACGATCAATCCAACCATTAATTGAATTTATAGGAAGGCATTTGTCTTAATACACTGTGTACAAATTATTATACGCTACTTTAAAGGGATTTCTAAGACATGTAAGATATACCATAAATTGTACAGTCGTTCGTTGAACGAGTACGACTGAGACAACCATTTTTCGTCACAAGTGACCTACATAGTGACGTCATTTTTACATTGTGACGTCACAAACAAGGAGCAGAACTTTATTCAGTATATGCTATTTATAGAACTTGTGTATGACTATGTGTGTACCAATTTTTTTTCTAATCTGAATTGCGGTTTTGTAGACATAGAGATAGTTCGCGAACTTTTTGATCACCCCTCGTAAATACCGGTCTTTTTTTTTATTTAAGTATCATAATTATAAATCAAATACACCATAAACAAGTTTTTCAAAGTAAAATATTAATTCTGGCGGTGCGTTATAGCAATTTGTCTAGTGTATATAAGGAGGCAGGATCTAAGTTATACTGGAATGGGTAACTTGTAAGTGTTGTGACGTCAACATGGTAAACTAATGTGCAGAGCGAGCTAGATAGAGCACGGTGTTTTGAACAGTGTGAACTGTTCATAAAATAATTAAAACAAAGTTGCTTTTTACATTAAAATATTGTATTTTACAGACTCTTGAATCTATGGTGGCATATTTCTGCCCCTTGTGTGCAAGTTATTTTTCTATCAAATATGTCGACATGCAAGATAGATATGTTGACATGCAAGATAGCTATGTCAACATGCAAGATAAATATGTTGACATGCAAGAAAATTGCAATCAAATAAAAATTATAAAAAATCTTCAAAAATCTAAAATATTGCCCACATGTGACATCCAACATGCTAGATGCTACTTATTTATGCTAACATGCAAGATAAATATGGTGACTTGCAACTTAGATATGTTAACATGCAACTTATTTATGTTGACATGCAACTTATTTATGTCGACATGCAACTTAGATATGTTAACATGCAACTTATTTATGTTGACATGCAACTTATTTATGTCGACATGCAACTTAGATATGTTAACATGCAACTTATTTATGTTGACATGCAACTTATTTATGTTGACATGCGAGATAAATATATTGACATGCAACTTATAAGTTGCATGTCGACATAAATATGTCGCATGTTAACATAAATAAGTTGCATGTCAACATATTTATCTCGCATATCAACCTTAGTTGCATGTCAACATAACTAAGTTGCATATCAACATAAATAAGTTGCATGTCTACATAAATAAGTTGCATGTCGACATAGCTATCTTGCATGTCAACATAACTAAGTTGCATGTCAGCATAAATAAGTTGCATGTCAACATAAATAAGTTGCATGTCAACATATTTATCTTGCACGTTCACATAAGTAAGTAGCTTCTAGCATGTTGGATGTCACATGTGGGCGATTTTTAAGATTTTTAAGATTTTTTATAATATTTATTTCATTGTAATTTTCTTGCATGTCAACATATTTATGTTGCATGTTGACATAACTATCATACATGTCAACATATCTATCTTGCATGTCGACATATTTGATAGAAAAATAACTTGCACACAAGGGGCAGAAATATGCCACCATATGAATCAGATGAAAAGATCCTTAGTTTACTTAATTTATTTATATGTATACATTCTGCGTAATAAATATTTCCTAATCTTATATTAATTTTGCGTTTAAAATTGATTACAGTTACGGGTTTTGAAAATGTCGAATTTTGTCATCGGTTTAAAAAAAAGTTGATATTTGCGTTGTAATTGTACATACAGAAAACACTTGCCACTATAATAAACCATTCTTACTTAGTTACTTATACTTACTTACTTATTACTTACTGATTTAAGCACCTTAGCAAAGATGCTGATCCGTGTGGTAACCGTGATTTTGAAACTTCATAAAG